GAAAGGGTACGTAGGCAGCCTCTCTCTGTGGTTCAGTCACACCAAAACAAAAATCCAAAGTCCCCCAAGAAAGAAACTGGGGCAGAAGTTGTGGTTGCTGTGAGAAATCTGATTCCGAAAGTTGTAACTTTAAATCCATGATTGAATTGTTTTGAGCCTTTGACACCCTTCCTTTCTAACCCTATCCAAAAGCCCACATTACGGTCCAAAGAAAGACCTTCCGATCAGTCCTCAAGAAATGCCGAGTCAAGTGAGCAGAGGTGAATCATATCAGGGGCAACACTCCGGTCCAAAAGAAGGAAATGAAGAATGAGAAAGTCTCGTTGATGAGAACCCTCACGGGTACCCCCAAGGTGATGAAAGCTGAGAGAGATCAAAATGAGAGAGTCTTATTGGTGAAAACCTTCACGGGCACCATAAGGCGACGGTGAGTTGAGAGAAAAATCAAAATGAGAGAGGCTTGATGGTGAAAACCCTTCGGGCACTACAAGTCGAATAAGGATTGTGAGTCGGATCGGGCAAGCAGAGCATTGAAGCCCAGTTTCACGGCAAAAGGTACAACAAGAGCTGAACATCAGATTTGCTAAACAGAGTAGGCTGCAGGTGCATGTCAAGGTCGTTAGAGTCGGTATCCACATTTGATGGATTGCTGCTCTGTAGGTTTCTTGTTAGGAATCATCTCTCTCCATTACCCTTTACTCCAATCCTCCCACTTTATTTTACTCCTTCGTCCTAGGTCGGTTGTTCAAAACAAGTGAGAAAAGATATCAAAATCTGCCACCAAGCTTTCCAATTAAACAGCACGGGACCTGGTGAGCACATAAAGGCGTCGAGCCAGGAGAAAACCGCAGGCACACTGAGTTGGCCACAATCAACATGCTTTGGGATTCGTGCAAAATACAAAGGGTCTGATTTAGGAACCACGCAATAGATGGAGGGTGTTGTGGTGAATGGATCAGAGGTAGTCTCCGTGTCAAGGGTAGCAAAAAAAGTGGTTAGTCAATAAACAAGCAAGATTTTCGAGGGGGAATCAGTTATCGTGACAAGTGAAAGAACAATAAACTAAGGGCTAAAGCCAGTGGTCAAGAAAGAACATCATATACACAAAGCAGGGACAATAGACATGCTGCGGGATTCATATGAGACATGAGGATTGGGGAGATGACCGTTCATGCAATGCAACAAATGGAGGATGATGGGCCACCTTCGAAGTTCAAGGCCACAAACCAACCACCACATTTTAAACTCACAAGTTTTCGTTGTTTGAAACAGGAACAAAGCAGTGCAAGAAAGTTGGTTCAACAGTAAGGGAACAAGAAAGGAAAGAAAAGAAAAGGAACAAGAGGAGAACCAACAAAAGGGAAGTTTCTCAAATCATTGACCTTTGCCATTACTTTTCACAATATTTCCTCCTAGGATAAAAGGCCTAGTCTGATGGATTTTTCTAGAGTCAAAATCTTAGTCTGATGAATCTTTCTCCTAGGATAATAAGAGACCTAGTCTAATGAATCTTCTCCTAGAGTCAAAATCTTAGTCTGATGAAACTTTCTCCTAAGATAACCAAAATGGACCTAGTCTGATGAATTTTCTCCTAGGATCACATCTTAGTCTGATGAGTCTTTCTCCTGAGATAGTAAACCTAGTCTGATGAACCTTCTCCTGGGATCTAAATCTTAGTCTGATGAAACTTTCTCCTAAGATAACCAAAATGGACCTAGTCTGATGAATTCTCTCCTAGGATCACATCTTAGTCTGATAAATCTTTCTCCTGAGATATTAAACCTAGTCTGATGAACTTTCTCCTGGGATCTACATCTTAGTCTGATGAAACTTTCTCCTAAGATAACCAAAAACATACCTAGTCTGATGAATTTTCTCCTAGGATTAAAATCTTAGTCTGGTGAATCTTTCTCCTAAGATAACTAATGAGACTTAGTCTGATGAACTTTCTACCAGGACAGAAATCTTAGTCTGATGAATCTTTCTCCTAAGATAACAAAAATATACCTAGTCTGATGAATTTCCTCCTAGGATCAAAATCTTAGTCTGATGAATCTTTCTCCTAAGATAGAAAACCTAGTCTGATGAACTTTCTCCTAGGATCAAAATCTTAGTCCGATGATCTTTCTCCTGAGATAATGAAACGGCTTAAACTGATGAACCTTCTCCTAGGATCTAAATCTTAGTCTGAGGAATCTTTCTCCTAAGATAGAAGGCCTAGTCTGATGAATTTGCTAGTCAAATGTCTTTGGTTTTACTCACAGGATCGTGCATTCCAATCAAGTCTTTTGTTTTACTCTTATCATCGCATCATTAGCTTAGGTGATCTATATTTTGCTAACGACTCCCAAATCTTCCTAGTGCAAACTGGGGCAGAAAATTTTCTTTGTTTGTTTATTTTGTTGCAGTCAGGAGCCCACCTGGAGAACAAGGGAATACTTTTCAAGTTTCAGCAGTCAGGCGCCCACCTGGAGAACAAGGGAAGTGCAATTCAATTTCAGCTTCTAATTTTTAATATTTGATAACATGCTGTACCCAGTTACCAAACTGGGGCAGAAAATTTTCTTTGTTTGTTTTTTGTTGCAGTCAGGAGCCCACCTGGAGAACAAGGGAATAATTTTCAAGCTTTGCAGTCAGGAGCCCACCTGGAGAACAAGGGAATACTTTTCAAGTTTCAGCAGTCAGGCGCCCACCTGGAGAACAAGGGAAGTGCAATTCAATTTCAGCTTTTAATTTTTAATATTTGATAACATGCTGTATCCAGTTACCAAACTGGGGCAGAAATTTTCTTTGTTGTTTATTTTGTTGCAGTCAGGAGCCCACCTGGAGAACAAGGGAATATTTCAAATTTCAGCAATCAGGAGCCCGCCTGGAGAACAAGGGAATACTTTTTAAGCGTCTGCAGTCGGGAGCCCACCTGGAAAATGGACACATGTTTCAAGTGGTAACAATCAAGCATCATTCGGTGAGTTATTCTGCCATCAAAGCAACTACACAAGCAATCCAGAATGGCACCGGGGGTGTGTTAGGGAAAAAGAAGAAAGAAGATGTTGCTATGGTCGCCTCAGGATCGTGGCATGGCCCAAGGGGTTCACCACACCATTACACCCAGCCTCGACCCCAACCTCAAACCTACACAGAAATCCCATATAATCCACCCAACACTACTACCCACCACAAAACCCTCAATATTCAATGAGACCATCCCAATACCACGTCTACCACGCACAGTCATACGCTCAACCCCTCCTTACCCGCAATGGCGTGCACCAGCTCCACAAACATACCGAAACCCTACTAGTCCAAGCTTTCGACCCATGCCAGAGTATAGAAATGAAAGGCTGCAGCAGAAGAAAACTTCCACCCCGCTTGGGGAGTCTTATACCAGTTTGTTTCAGAGGTTGAGTCAGCTGGATGTTCTGAGGCCGATTGAGTCAAAATTACGAAACCCCCCTCCAAAGAACCTGGATTATTCCCTCAGATGTGCATATTATTCTGATACTCTGGGGCACAATACAGAAAAGTGTTGGCATTTGAAGAACTCCATCCAAGAGCTTATCGATACAAACCGAATTGTGGTCCAGAGCCCGGAAACTCCAAACATCAATCCCTTTCCAGCCCATGCCGAAACGCACATGATTGAGATAGTGTATAAGGATGGAGAGCCCGAGAAGCCTTCAAAGTCTGTCATGATGATCCGTTCCAGTGACAGTAATTAAGTCAAAACTCCAGTTGTTACAAATGCAACATCCTCGACAGCTGAAGGGCTGAAGGACAAACTAAGCCCGCCCAATGTTAAGTCGCCTGTATTAGTTGTGAAAGGGTTCCCAGATGATGTTGAAGCAAAGCAAGGAAAGCCGAAAGTGGTGGTGCCATGGGCAGCAAGTAAGCCTATCATAATCGTGGAAGGGGCTCGCACCGACCCTATTGTTATTAAACCTGTGACCCAGCTGCCGATAAATAACACCAAGGCTGTTCCATGGAATTACAAGCAAGTGATAGTAACCTATAAAGGGAAAGAAGTGGAAGAGGAAGTCAATGAAACCCGAGGGTTGACTCGTACGGGGAGATGCTTTACCCTAGAGAAATTAAGGAAAGCTAAGCCACTCAAAGATAATCCCATTCTAGTGAAGAAGCCAGTCACTGAAGAGGAGGCGGAAGAATTTTTGAGAAAAATGAAGGTGCAGGATTACTCCATCGTAGAACAGTTGAGGAAGATACCCGCTCAGATTTCTCTTCTATCATTGTTGATACATTCGGATGAGCACCGCCGGGCCCTCATGAAGATCCTGAATGAAGCTCATGTCCCTGACAAGATCACAATGAACCATTTGGAGAAGATTGCCAACAGGATATTCGAGACAAACAGAATCACCTTCTCAGATGATGAGTTGCCTTTGGAGGGTACGAAACATAATCGGGCTCTTTATCTCACAGTGAAATGCGAAGATTCTGTGGTCACAAGGGTGCAAGTTGACAATGGTTCCAGTGCAAAGATTTGCCCTCTCTCCACTCTGCACAAGTTGAACATTGATACTGAAAGAATCCACAAGAACAATATATGTGTCCGAGGTTTCGACGGAGTGGGAAAAGATTCTGTTGGCGATATCGTACTCGAGCTGACGATAGGAACAGTTGAATTTACCATGGAGTTCCAGGTACTAGATGTGGCCGTCTCCTACAATTTGTTGTTGGGTAGGCCCTGGATACATATTGCCAAAGCAATCCCTTCTTCCCTGCACCAGATGGTAAAGTTCGAGTGGGACAGATAGGAGATCGTCGTGCATGGTGATGAGAACTTATGTGCTCACAATGATACTTCCGTCCCGTTTATTGAGGCCGAAGATGGTAAGGGGCCTTGGGTCTACCAAGTTTTCAAAACAGTGCCAGTTGAGAAGATTCCGGAGAGGGAGTGTATTCCAGGTCCGAAGTTAGCCTCCGCATCCATCATGGTGGCATCTGAAATGCTGAAGAATGGTTTTGTACTGGGCAAAGGTCTGGGCGCATCTTTACAAGGTATCGTGCAGCCAGTGTCTCTACCTGAAAATTTGGGTACGTTAGGTCTAGGATTCAAGCCCACAGGGGACGATGTGAAGAGGGCTAAAAGGTCAAAAAAGAAAGCATGGTCACTCCCTAAGCCTATCCCACGCCTCTTCAGCTCCTTCGTCAAGCCGGGGGTCGTGTGTGAGCACGTGATTTTTGCCCTAAGCAAATTATTCCAAAAGTTTCAAATAATCGATTTCTTAATTATTTTACAATTTTTCTGAATTTTTGTTAAATCTTTGTGTTAATTGGTTGCATTTTTATTCATATGAAAATACAAAAATATGCATTGGCATTTAGCGATTTAATTTCACAATTTTAGTATTAATTAGGTATTATTTAGTTCCAGAACAAAATTAAAGAAAATTGCAAAAAATAGTTTCTTTGCACTTTTAATTGTTAATTGTTGCATTTATCTTAAATAGAGTTTTAATAATTCTAGAGTAATAGTTTAATCAGGTCTTTGTTTTGTTTTAGCATTTTATAAAATAGATAAATAAATATAAAAATACAAAAATAAAATACAAAAGCAAAATAAAGAAAATACAAAGAAAACAAATTGCTCTCAATAAAATGCCCAAATTGGGCCAAAAATGGTTCAGCCCACCCCAAAAACCCCTCAAGACCGGACCAAACCACTGGCCCAAACGCCCTGCCCGGTCCAATTGCCCCATACTCAAAACGACGTCGTTTTGACGTCGTTTAATCACGACCGTTCATCCCCTCTAATCCAATGGCCACGATTGATCCTTCAATCCAAATAAAAGTGTCTGAAATTATATCCAAAACCTTAAACATCCCTCACCCTCCTCGTACTCTCTGTAACGCCGGCGTTACCCCGCCGTCCTCCTCCCATCTCCGCCGGCCGGAAATCGTCGCCGCCGGCGGCGCAACCCCAATCGACCCCAAAATTTCACCCCAGAATCTCTGTCCCTTCCTCGTTCCAAATCCGTCACTATTTTCTTCCAAAACCCAACCAAACATCCCAAATTCCCCAAACCCTAGGCGCCGCCGCCGCCGCACACGGCGGCGCCACCTCCCAAACTTCATGAAATTCACATTCTAAACCCTCTTCACCTCCTTCTTCCAAAATCCCTAACTGGTCTCCTTCAAATGTTTCGTGAAGTTCTCGAATCTCAAATCAGAAGGGCGGCAGAACCCTAGAATGTCGAACCACTCGAATCCTTTCCAATTCTTGAGTCCAGCGTTGAATTTGAGGCACGAAATCATGTTTTCGTTTGTTCTTGACAAAGAACAAACGTTTAACATCATTTCGAGACTCGGATTGAAGTCTGGTCTTCGTTCAATCTTACATAAGTAAGTTTTCTTATTCCTTTTGCTTTTATTATTTGAATCTCTTGTTCTTAAAATTAGCCTAAAGTGTGTAGACTGTAATTTTGCATCAGTTTAGATGTCTTTTGTTTAAATCTGCCGGTGCTTTAGTTTTGTTGGTATTAAGTCAGTTTTAATTCATAATTTGTTTAGGTGATTAATTTCTGTTTGTTGTCGACTGTTAAAATGGCCGATAGTAGTTGTTGTTTCTACTTTTCAGCAGTTAATTCAAGCCATAATTTAGGATTGTTTGGATTTGTGATCCTTCTTTGGGGTCGAGTTGTATTTGAGAACTTTGTTTGTTACTGAACAAATTCAGATCCTTGAAATTAGTCATAGTTAGCATTTGATCAAGCTGAAGGGTTTGGTGTGGTTGGAATTGGGTTTGGGTTGGTCAGTAATTCCAAAAGGGTTTCAGGGGTAGTTTGGGTATGGAAAAGGGTAGTTTTATTAGAAATAGTGATTTCAGAATTAATACAAGGGTAATTTAGGGATTCTAAGGGTAGGAAAATCAGAATAGAACCCCCTAGGACTTTCTAGAAGGGGTTTTAAACTGAAATTCAGTAAACTTAGGGTAGTTACTTGTGCAACAAGTCAGAAAATAAAGGTTAAAAATAGAATTAAAATAGGGACTAAGGGGTAAAATGAAAATCTGAAATTGGACCCTAAGTTTGCCTATAAATAGGCATTCATTTGCCTTGTATAACAAGTTTTGGGAGCTCGCAAATTTCCCCCAAAACAGTCTCTACCATTTCCAGATCTGCAATTTTGAATTCAAAATTCAAAACACCCCAGATTTTAGTTCATCCTGATAGAAAACAAAAATACAAAAACAGAAATTATAAAAAGGTCAAAAACTGTTCCATTGATCACTTCGGTTTGATTTCGAGTTTGAGTGATTGATTTTGGTCTTTTGGTTCAATATTTGTTGGTTGAGATTCAGAAAACTTACTGCATTTGAATTTGAGTCAATTTTGGTGTGTTTGAGCTATCCTGGTTGATTTTGGCTTGTTCGAGGCCTATTTTGGTCCAGTCTGGTTCATCTTCATTGAAACTAGTTGCTGTTTGGTTGGAGTGTCAATTTTTGGGTCAAAAATTCAGTTCAAAGTCACTGTTAGAAAAAAAATATTGCTGTTGAGCCACTGTGTACTGCTGCTGACATTTCCTTCATCTTATTTTGATCTACATCCCAGGTACATGTTCTGAATCTCGACGTCATGTAGAAGTTCAACTGAAATGAAATGAAATGGAAACACAATTTCGTTAGAAGCTTCATCTGTTGCAGCATTTTCATTATAATTGTTTGTAATGACTGGGCTTGTAATTAGGACTGTTATGATAAGTAATTTAGACTGGTTGAACTTTAATTTGTAATGGTTTATGCTGATGAACTGTTAAGTGTTGAGTGTGTTCGTGTAGGTTTGTGTAAGAGTTTTTAGTAGTCAAGTATTAGTCGTAACTAAATTTGCTAAATTCCTGCTAGATTTAGTTAATTACCAGTTAAATGTTTACACAAATTCATTTGATAAGTGATTCAGAGGTGAAAAGAACCTTAGGTAGTTTTCATTTTTCAATCTATGATAAAAATATTGGTTTGAACTGTTTGGGTTGACTTGAGTTCCAGTAATACGAAGGCATTATTTGGTCATTTGAGTTTGCATTGTTAATGTGTGTTGTGATTGGCGTGTATAAGTTTGCTATTTTAGATACTGGATTTGACTAATTTTGGCATGTTCATCTCAAAGATAAAATCACAAGCTTAGTCAGTAAAACTCTGAAATTGCTTTAAGCATTCCACAGGTTTGCCTTCGAATTTTGAATTACATGATTGACCTCTTGGCAGTTTTAGGCATACAATCAACAAAATATAAGTGTGCATGCCATTGAACTCAAATTTTTAATTAGACTGATTCTGGGCTCATGTTAAAGGCTCAGCACGTGACTGCCTCTTTTGAAGTAAGATTGGGTCCTGAATCCATTTTGGGCCCAGCACCAAACGACTTTTCCTTTTCTTTCAGTCGTGAACGCAGGTTGCTTGTCAGGCGGGTTGGAACCTCTTTATTGGGCCAAGTTTATCATAGTCAATTTAGGATTGGCCTTTAAATAAAAATGACGAGATGAGCCTCGCTAAGCCAAACAAATAAATTGCGGGGCCCTCAATAAATGCTATAAAAATACTTAGAATTCGGGTGAACCGTCTAGCGAATTTCACGGTTTTCCCCAAAGATAATAATGCGTAGTTGCTTTAGGCGCGTATTTTAATAATATTACTTTCCTAAATTCGGGTGCACATTTATGTGACCCAAATCCAAATCTCAACGAAGTCGAAATGTGTTAACAATCACGGGTGCACTGGTGCGACGTGGTTCGAGATGCATTTTCACGACGTTGCAATTCTTATATAAAAATAAAAATAATAAAAGCGGTTTACTAATAAAAGCACATGAGTTTGGACATGTTTTGAAATCAGATAAAATCAAATACAACAGTTGAGCGACCGTGCTAGAACCACGGAATCCGGGAATGCCTAATACCTTCTCCCGGGTTAACAGAAGTTCTTACTCGGAGTTCTGGTTCGCGGACTGTTAACGGAGTCATAATTTCCTCGGATCGGGATTCAACCGGTGACTTGGGACACCATTAATCTCCCAAGTGGCGACTCTGAATATCAATAATAAATCCCGTTCCGATTGTCCTTTAATTGGAAAAGCTCCTTTACATCCTCACGGGTGTACTAGCGAAAAAGGGGGTGTGACATCGTGAAGCTCCCAGTTTCAGCAATCCCAAAGCCTGCAGTCGACTCTGCTGAAGAGGTGATTGAAAGATTCCAGAGTCTATTTGATGAGGTGAACATGGTGGAAGTTGGGGAAGGTTCTAGCAAAGCAGATGTGCAGTTTATTGGGCCAAAAGTGAAGCTTAACAATTGGAAGGCTACTCCTCTCCCTACTCGGAAGGAGTTTTGGTAGTTTCTTTGTTTTCCTTTCTGTTATCTGGATTATTCCAGGGTTGTAATCCAAATTTTTATTTTTCGTTTGTTTTGATGTACAAACCCTTATATCCTTTATTTTCAATGAAATGCAATTTCCCTTTTCTATTACTCCTGATAGTGTCATTTTTGTTTTTCTTTGTAAAGTTCTTTTTATGCTGGTTTCAATGACATGACATGCATGAGAAATTTTCGGCCAAGTCTTAAAAACCAATCTAATTCTGAAATGATAATCCAAGAAGTAGAGTGCGATGATGAAACAGAATATGATGAAGAGGAGGCATTTGAGGAAATTAGTAAAGAACTAATTCATTTTGAAGAGAAACCCAAGCCTAATTTGAATGAAACTGAAGCGATCAATTTAGCAGATCCAAATAATGTCAGGAAACCAAGATAAGTGTATACCTGGAACCACAAATCAAGGAAGAAATAATCAAAGCACAGTTTGAATATAAAGATATTTTCGCATGGTCATATGACGACATGCCGGGTTTGAGTACCGACTTGGTAGTTCACAAATTGCCAACTGATCCGGCATTCCCTCCAGTCAAGCAGAAGTTAAGGAAGTTCAAGACTGACATGAGTGTGAAGATCAAAGAAGAAGTCACAAAGCAGCTTGATGCGAAGGTCATTCGGGTTACTCGATATCCCACTTGGTTAGCTAATGTTGTGCCAGTGCCAAAGAAGGATGGTAAGACCAGGGTGTGTGTTGATTACCGCGATCTCAACAAAGCAAGTCTGAAGGATAACTTCCCATTGCCAAATATCCATATTTTGATTGATAACTGTGCCAAGCATGAGATCAGGTCTTTTGTGGATTGCTATGCGGGATGTCACCAGATCTTAATGGATGAGGAGGATGCAGAAAAGACAGTGTTCATTGTGAGCACGTGATTTTTGCCCTACATGAATTACTCATAGAAATTCAAACAAAATGATTTCTTTCATTATGTTACAATTTTGTGGATTTTTGGTGACATTTTAGGTTAATTGACTGCATGTTATCTGCGCAGTTTAATTAGTAAAAAACACAAAAATACTTGGCATTTGCATTTAGGATTTAATTTCACATTTTAGGATTATTTAGTAGTAAAGTTACTTTAGAAAATTAAAGAAAATAGCAAAAAAATGGGTTTTTTTTTCCAGCACCCCACTCAAAAATGGTTCTGGGCCATTTAATTAAGTTCTGCCCAACCCAAACACGCCCCAGGCCAGCCCAACCCACGTCCCAACCCGGTCCAGTCCCACACCCCACCCAAAACGACGTCGTTCCCTTTCTCTTTAATCTGGTCCGTCAATGTATCTCAATCCAACGGCCACGAACTGAGGAGTTATATGTATATAAATGTCCGAACTCATGCCCCCCCCCCCTCTCAGACCCCCCCTATTCGTCTAAAAGACCAGCCGCCTTTATACCCACCATCCACCACCGCCCTCCGCCGCCTGCCGCCCGCCGGAAATCGCCTACGGCGGCGGCCGGTCACCAAACGCCTCCAAAAAACACACCACAGCGCCTCCTCCATCTCCTCATTCCCAATCTGGGATCAGTCTTCCTCAATGCCCTTCCCAACTCCTCGAATCTTCAAAATTACCGTCACCGTCTCCGCCGTGTCCGGCGGCGGTCACCCCAAACCGGTCCAAAATCACACCTCATGCTCCTCTCCTCCTCTCCTTTCCACATCCATGTCTATCTTCCCTCAAATATCACTCGAATTCCTCGAATTCCGATTCAAAGTTCCGCCCCGAAACCCTAATTTCTCCAAACAGTCCCATATTAATACCATACACTCCCCTCACCCTCCTCTACCCAAATCCCTAAACCGTTGTCCCCAAATCCAACAGGCACTGATACAATTTCAAATCTAGGGTTGGAGAGGTTTGAACCTCTTCTGGGGTTTTGAAGGTTCGACTTGGCTCAGTTGATGTATTGTGTTTAGTAAAGTCTGAGTCAGTAAGTTCTTTCTTCTTTATTCAATTTTTTCCGTTTATGGTTGATTCTCTGCTCATGCTTTTGATTTTCTGTAGTTTAATCTTGTATGTGGATTGATTCTGTTCTCGTGATCTTGTGTGAATCAATGTTTGTCTCTACTAGTATCGGGCTAGTCGTTACTGATTAGTTTAGTTAGGCTTCATCCTTGTTTAGCCTTCTATTCGTTTTTAGGATTAATCTTGACTCAATTTTGATTCATATGCTTGATTTCAATTATTTGATCAATAGATGTTACTTTTAATTTGATTTTAACCTAGTTCATTTATCATTAATCCTTAGTTCACTGACCAGCCTAGGTAATGAGTGGAGTCAATGTGAATAATCTAGATTTTTGCTAACCATGGTCAATTATTGACCAATTATCAGGGTTGGAGGTTCAGGTCTGCTTGGTCAGTAATTTCAGAATTTCAACCTAAACAATCACTTAATGTACCAATTCAATTAACAAGGGATTTTGTTATTCAGCTATTTGCACGTTCCCTATTTATACGGAAGCTATAGGTGATTACTAAAAAAAAGGATTTTTAGAACCTGAATCACAGAATCAAAACATTTTACAATCACACACACTGACTAAATAATCTGTTGTATGCATTTTTGGCATCAACCATGCTGAAACTCATTAGAAGCAAACTACTTGACTTTACAATGAGATTTAAACAATCAACTCCAACCTTTGTATTTAATCTATTTCTACTACATTTGTTATACTAAACGGGTGAAATATCAAACATCCGATAATAGTCACAAAATAAACAGTTTCAGTCTTAATTAAACATTGATCTACTGAAAATTCATGAGATTACATGCGAGATATTACCAACATTATCAGGAACTTGCTGCATTCACTCATCTCCACAAACTCGTAAGCTACATTGAAGCCAGTTTCAAAATGCCTGTCACTGAAGAATTAATCAAACAGAAGAATAGCGAGATCAGCAACAGAATAATCAGCAGGCACACTGATGCTTGAAGCAGCTTCAGAAAATTAACCAGCAGTCCACGAATGATTTCAAAACGCAGCCAAATTCAAGAACAATTTCGAAAACCAGCTTGAAACTATCCCACACAATCCAAAATCAATTTTGAATAAACCAGAACCACTCGTAAAAAACAATCAGTAAACCTCAGAGGGACCTAGCAATCAGAAGAGCAGAGAGTTGATCAAAATTAACCCAAAGATCAAATGTAAAGTGCTTATATTTTGTTTATTTTTTGTTGCATTTTTATTTTGTTTTAACTTAAGAACTGAAAAGAAGATTTTGATCATCAGATTTTGAGATTCTCAGATCTGAAACTTGAAGAGGGATTTTTTTGGGGGTGGAATTTTTGGGGTTCCCCAAACTTGTGAATCAAGGCAAATGAATGCCTATTTATAGGTGACTTAGGGTCCATTTTCAGAGTTTCCTTTTACCCTTAGTCCCTATTCAAATTCTATTTTTACCCTTTATTTTCTGACCTTTTACACAAGTAACTACACCTATTCTATTGAAATCTGTACTATAGTCCATCCTTAGAAGGTTCTATACCCATTACATTCCCTATTTCTACCTCTTACTTTACTTCAATAATTACCAAACTTATGAAATACCCTTTTCCATGCCCTAAAACTACCTTTTGGAATCCCCTGAAA